GAAAAATTTTACGGGGAAAATTTAAAAACTATTTTTTTAAACATCAAAAATTTAAAAAATTTTCCCAATTTAAGTCACCCAAAACATTTAAATAATTCAAAAATTTTCACCAAAAAAAATGCTGAATTTTTCTTTTTTTTTATCACCAAAAAATTTTTATCTTTTATCCAAAAAAAATATGTCATAATTTTTCTATTTTGTCGCCAAAAAAATTGTTTAATTTTAAATTTTTTTTAAACCCAAAAATTTGTCCCGGTTTTTTCACCGTTATTTAGAGAAAACAAAAATTTGCAAACAGCAAAACCCTTTTTTTAAAAAATAAAACTGGTACTATGGCCCTTTAAATTTTTGCAAAAAATATTTGAGATAATTAAAATCCCATAAATTTTTTTGCCTAAATTTTGTTTTTCCCCCTTTTTTAAAAAAAAGAATGAAAAAATAAAAAAAAAAAAACTATTTTTCGGAAAAAACTGCGTTTTTTTATGTTTAAACAAGTAAAGTTTTGTCTTTTTTCTAAAAAAAACCCGCCCCGTTTTTATTTATGACCACTTTTATATTCATATTAAAGGGGCCCCCCCTTTTGGGTTTAAAGGGTTTTTAAACCCAAAAAACCTTTGTGTTTAAAGGGCAAAACATTTTTAAATTTTATATTAACAAAAAATTTGGGAAGGGACATTACCAAATTTGAACATAAACATAATTTTGGGATGGGCGTGAGGGTTTATTGTTTTATACTTTATTTTTTACATTAAAATTTTTGGTGTTTTTTGTTTAGTAGTCAGAAAACAAACTGTTCAGGGCAAATTTTTAAAATTTTTAAACTGCTTTCTAATATTTTTCAAAAATTTATAAACTACACTTTATTCACCATTTATAAAACTGTCGATTTTTCCCTTGACTAAAGTAAAAATGTGCTGCGATTTCATACGAGTCATTTGAATGCAGTTCTACTGAACGGGAAATCATTTGAAACGCCTACATTTATCAAAAATTCACAACACACATGAAAATTTAAAATGATTATCCCCCCGGGTCGTTTTTCCGCGGACAAAACTATATATTTTTATTACAGTTTTTGCCAATTTTTTTGAAAAACACCCCTTTTTCCTCTGTCGATTTGGCACTATAACTAAAGGTCAAATAAAAGGACATTCAATATTTAAATTAACACATCTGAAGGTACAACAAAAAGATTTTTGTCCTAGTAAAATATATTTCAAGAACTTATATCCAGGGTATTCCCAAAGTAAATAGTCTTCATTTCAACATGTTTATTATTTATCATTTTTTATAATTTCTCTAAAAATTATATTCATAGAAAAATTATCAATTCTATAGGAAATATCATATACTATTAATATAATTTTAGAAAGAAAAAATGTTATTCGTCAATGATATTTATACAAGAAATCTTTTAAAATTTTCTGCAAGGCACCATTATGCCACATAAAATCTTTTATTTCTATTTCACAAATTATTTTATTTTCTTGTCTACAATTTTAAATTTTTCAAAAAAGGGGGAAAATTCCCTTGGGGGGAATTTTTGGGGGGTTTTTGAACCTTCTTTTGCTTTTTAAAGTTAAAAAAGTTAATACCTTTTTTGCGATTTAGTATTTTTAACAGAAGTCAAAAAAACTACTTAGTTTTCATTTTTCTTCTTTTATGACAAATAGCAAACACATGTAACGCTCTCTTCATTTAGGCAAAATTTGCTAATAGCTCTAAAAATCATTTTTAAAAAAGGGTTTTTAAACAAGTGTGTGGGCTTTTTTTTTTAAAAAATTTTTTTTTTTTTTCAGAGCATAAAGTACCCTTTTTAAAAAATTCGAACTAAATAAGCAAAAATTTAGCATTTGGGAAAATGTGTGTATAAAATAAAATAAACAAAAATCAACAAGGAAATGCGGCTTCAAAAGAAAAAGTAAAAATGGGGTGCATGTCCGCGGGCCCCAACTTTTAAATTTGCTTTCAAAACATTTGAACATGAAAAAACATTGGTTTTTTTTTTTAATTTAACACATAAAAAAGAAGGAAATTTTGTTTTTTGGTCCGGTTTTTGTTTTTTTATTTTCCTAACAAGATGTCAGGTATCATATTAATTTTAAATTTTTTAAAAAATTTACGTTAAACGTTTTTTTTGAAAGCAAAAAAAATTTTAATCGTCATGTCTCGATATTTACTTTTAAACTTTGGGGTTTTAGAGCAACATTAAAAAAAAAAATTGTCTTTATTTTTTTGGAGAAGGGGGCCAAAACATAGATGCAATTTAAAAAGGGATCGTCTTTTTTATTTAACCTGAACAAGGGCTGGAAAAAGAGTAAAAAGGGCTATTTTCCCGAAATGTATGCCATGTGGGCTATATTCCCTGTTTGTATATTTCCCGGTTAATTTTTGTTTGCCGTTTTTTATCCCCTGGGGGTTACAGTAAGAGCAAATTAAATTTTTATTCCTTTCATTGTTTAAGTGTAGTTTCTCAAGCTGATGTAAAGTTTGTATAACATTACCTTCTTTTTTTCTGAACTGAAACTTGCCTAACGAATGACACTGATAAGTGAGTTCAGTTAGTCTTCTAGCATTTACTAAAAGTTCAAACCTTAATATGTCGGGACAGCATTCCCAATTTTTCATTGTTCAAGATGTTCAATGTTTTATGTTTTGCAATTTTACATAAAAAGCAGTTTTGACAGTTTAAGAATTAAGGGCTTTTTTGGAAAAATCGACCCTGGGATTACAATTTCTTTATCTCCCAAAACATTTTTTTAAAAATCGCGTCCAAAGTTTCCCTTTTTTAAAAAAAAAAACCATTTTTTTTAAAATTTCGTGGGCCCAAAACCCGTTGGAGTTAAATTTATGTTTTGGAGGTTGATAAAAAATAAAAACTCAATTTTGGGTTTATTAAGGGGGTTTAAAAATACTGTTTTCCTTTGTCAAGGGTGTAAATGCAAATTTTGTTCAGTTTTTTAACCCCTGTTTTTAAATATAGGGGACTCTCTAAAGTTTAAATTTTTTGAGATGTTTCCGTCTAGACAAATAAATAGACTAATTTTTTCCCGGGTTTAAGTTTTTACATTACCCAATTTATTGCCTAAAGATGTCTTTTTTAAATAAAAAATTTTCAACATTGCTATAAAACCCGAATCCCTTAAACTAAATTTCCTTGTCTTTCTTTTAAAATTTGTAACAGATCTATTTTTTTAATTTCACGAATATACCCCCCAATTAAATTGCTCTGTATTTATATTTTAAAATTACTAATCAGGACAGTAAGCGTTAACAGTTGGGAGGGTTTTTTTTGAAGACCCAAATTGAAAAATTTTGGGTTTGTTACATTTAATTTAAAATTTCCCACTTGCTAAAAAGAGTTGTTGAAATTTAAGGGTTCAGCTTGTTTAAAATTAACCAAAACCTTTCAACTTTGAAGTTCCATTTTTTTCCGGGAAATATAATAACAGACTTATATCTTTAAAAATCAAATTCTTATATCCCAAGTTCAAGTTCCCTTAAATTTAAAAATCGTAATTTTTTTAAAAATTAATTCCATGCTTTCCTTGTATAATAAAGACTTTTTTTCCAAAATGATCTTTATACCCCGAATACATCCCCTGTTCAAGTATCTTTTTATTTTCCCTTATCCTTTAGATGAAGTTCCCATGCAATTCTTTGAATATGATAACATATTTTCTAAACACCTAATGCTCTTACATTCCACGAATGCTATTTCGTGTTCAAGTTGCTCTGTAATTTATACCTGTAATTTCCTATATTCAGGACAGTCAAGCAGTATTACAGTTTTGAGATGGTTTTGTCTTGACAGATCAAATCATTTATGACGTTCTGCATTCTGTGATTGCGAATCGACAGCACAATTCTCAATATAAAGTTCAGTCACAGTCTGCTCGCATTTTTGATAAAAGTTCAAAATCTAATGTAATGGGAAGGTCTTTAATGGTACATATTTTCAAAGGTTGTTGAGTAATTAAACCAGCTAACTAAACATATCATACACTTTATCAGTTTAAGTTTTTTGAGGTGATTGTTTTTTGGACAGGTCAATTTTATATGGCGTTCATGTTGAGACTAAATTCTACCTTATAGTTTTCAAATTGAAAAGGTCTGCTCCAAATCTGTTCGCCTTTTTCTAAATGTTCAAAGTTAATATACCAGAACAGGTCTGAAGTGAACAAATTCAATTTGTTGATTGGGCAGGTCAGAAATTTCTAATATATCACAGGAAAACAGCTCAAGTATCTGAAGCATGTCCCCTGCTTTAGAAGAGATTAATTGCATTTTGAAACTATGCAGTATCTAAAACATTCTACAAAATGCATTGTTATTTGTTTAACAACAGTTGTTGAGACAAGAATAAAATTTTCAATATTTAGGAAGGGAAAACATCTTTAAATACCAAATATGTTGCAGGTTTTTGCATTGGGATTAGTCTACTATATTTTTATCTGATGTTTTTCAAAACTCAGAGAAAATCACATCATGTGTATTATTTTTTGTAGGAGATGGACTAGGTTAATATCATTTATTGCAAAGATCGCTTTATACTATCATTGTCTTATCACAAGAGCCGCACTCTTTGAGACATTCTACCATAAGACGTTGTATCTGAATAATCTCGTCATTCCTGTATAATATTTTATACCCATGTCTTCTAAGAACTACAATATGCCTTATGCCTTATTCAAATACATGATATCCTTTGAGACCAAATCCACAAAATTAGGTTGGGAGACAAACCACAAATACTCCATTTTAATAACATTAGATAACTTGCAATTTATGTTCACTAGCATAAAGATTTCACATGTACAAAAAAGATTTTTCTCTAAAGCTTCCTGTTTTTCATATTCTTTTTTCTCTCAAACTATTTGGTTTCTTTTATGTTTTCTTTGAGGTCACGTTTACAAAGCCAGCAAAAAACTCGAGATAAGACATGTGGATGAAGAAAAATTGTGTATCTTCCTGGTGTTGGGGTCAAAGCAGTTGCTTTTTCATTTAAAGATACCAAATTGTAGTAGCTTCTTGACATCAAATACAGATAGCCCCCTTCTCTCCAGAAGATGGTTGTCGCCCAATATGTTTCTTATCGAGCCGGATGTCAAAACGTCAAATGCAGCAGCACCCATTAGAAATAAAACTCGTTTGTTGTTTCTAAATCTAGGATATATTTGCAAATTTTCTGGCAAAAATATGTTTTTATCCCCGTTTGCATCATTTCGAACGTCATCTCCGTCAACTTTTTGATTTGACCAACCACACATGATATTCAAAATCTGACAGTAAGTTTCACTTACAGATTTTCCAAGTTCCATATCATTACAATATAACCACAGTATTTGTTGCAAAAGCAACGGTGTTTTCTCTATGTGACCAATTTCCTTTGTTTTCATAATTCTAATGAATTCATTGTAAGACTTTTGAGTTGAGGCTGTTTGGGAAATATATTGTTCGATGAATGATTTCAGTAAGCTACAAGATAAACCTAATAAATATGATTTGAGATCAATTTCTGAGTTTTTTAAATTAAGAATTCCTTTTGCTGATGGTCTAGATAATGTAATGACTGTTGCATCTTTAGCTTTGTCTCCGTTTGGTATCCCGTAGCTAACATGTGGTTTACGCACAACATCTGTAGGAGGCGTCCATTCATCCAAGCTATCAATAATGATAAGACAACGCATTGAGTCTTCCTGAAATATTCTGTCAACCAAATCCTTATCTGAGGTGAGATCTCTTGTTAATTCTTTAATCATATCAACAGTGACGTCAGTCTTTAACACTGACATATATTGTAGTTGGATAAAGAAAAGAAATTCATACTGTCCCATCTGATAGACATCATCAAACTCATTTGCCATATTTATGTCACTCGAATTGGTTTCTGATCTTTCTAGATTATTCTCATTGCCAGCCGATTCATTTGTTCTACCACTTACAGCATTACACCAGTTTTCAATCATCATTTTGCAGAAAGTACTCTTTCCTGTTCCAACATCTCCTAATATATATATCTTTTTATTTCGCTGCCCCTTTGTTTGAAAGATGTCATGATATCTTTGTATATATCTTTTCCCTGGCTTCTCTGTCGTATTTTTATCAATATTCACACATTTTTCTTCCTCCATGACTTCTATCTCGGGGGTCACATATACATCTTTAATGTTAATGGTATCTTGTTGTTGCTTCAAAGGTGAAAGTGATGTCTTCACAAAATGTTTCTTGTAATATTTAACAAGTTGGGCTTGTAACTCTGTGAAAAAGTAAAATCTTCCTAGATAGTGCAGACAATATAAGATCGTAGGTTATTGGCAGTTATTTTTAAGTGTAGTTTAGATAATTGTCAATATATAACGAGACTTTGTCAACTATTCGTTTTTATGACACAAATGCTTTAAATGCTAAACTCAAAGTAGTTTGTAGTTAATTCAATGGAAGTCTCATTAATGTATATTTTGGGTTATACAATATGGGCCTGGATGTTTTCGAGTATATCAGTATTAAGAAATGGTAAGCAGATTTACTTTCAAAATGTTTCTTTTATCATATTATTTCAATTATTAAATGTTAAAATAAAACGTACTAAATCATTTTCATTTTTTCTTTTCTGTTTATATGAAAATGTAACATATTACAGATTTTGTACACAATTAAATTCCTCTTTTATATTATTGTTTCAATAATTTATTTACTTCTCAAACTATGACAAGGTTTTATGTATAATTGCTGTTTGTCCTTACAAAGATATCAATCGAAAAAATACAGTTGCTACATAGTTTAGGTTAATTAATAATTCCTTGAAATTTTGATGGAAATTTACATATACGCTGAAAAGCAATATTATTGATGAAGGTTAAAAGGTAGAAACGTACATTCCAAAACAAATCTTATCTAAAGGGAAAATATATTGTTTAAACTTGTGTTTAACTACTCCAAAATATGGCTAATAATTGTATGAAATGTTTACCTTGTTTCCCTTTGACGTAATCTAAATGCCTCTTGTATATATCACGTTTACTGTCTAGTTCTCTAACTGTGCCTTCTAGTGACGTCACTCGCTGAAAGCAACATAAGACAAACCTGTCATTTTAGATTATAGATAAGATCATATTAATTTCAATAAAGACAATAAATGTAATATATGTATTTTTAACAAAATATTAAGATACTATTACAGGCAACGTGTTTACACGACAAGTTACGCTTTATAAATAATTTAATAATAATGATAATAATAATAGCTAATAACATGGTTCTACCAAAAATGGTTATTTAAATAGTGGTTAATTAAACAAAATGGTCATAATGGCTCAAACCTGCTCACCTAAGTAACATAATTTCAAGTGTGTAAACTAACATAAACATGTATTACGAAACGATTGTTCATGTGAATAGCTTTTTGTTCACTTGTTGTTGATATTAACTTTTCCTTTTACAGATATTTTCGCTTCAAAAAGTTTTCAAAAAGACAAATGATATGGCAAACAAAGTAATGATCTGGACGATTTTTTTTCTAGCCAGTAAAAGAAATTAAAGTGGAAAAGACAATGCAAATAATCCTGTCTCAAAACTTTGATATCAAACTTATTAATGGGTAGTAATCTTTTTTCTTTTCTTTTTTTGTAAATTAAGTTATTATTGAATATATAGGAAATAGAACTACTATCATCCGGAATGAAAATTGTAAATGCACTAATAATAAGAGTCTGAGACATGCATTAGCTGATCACAAACACTTTGACAGTGGTCATATGAGGGCAAGATAGAAATGTATAACGTAAGTGATATCATAAGAAAATGGTATACTTCTGTCACAGCAGAAACATCTGATTTCAAGACAGAAACGTCTGATTCCACTTTTCCGATTCTTTTACAAAGGTCTGTTGTTAATTCCTCCACCTTTTCAAGCATGTTTGTTTCAATGTTTTGTACTCTTTCATTTAAATCCTTTACTTCTTCAATCATTTGTTTCAATTCCTCTGCCTTTTGGGTTACACACATTATTGCCTCTTTACATACATCTACCTCATGGTTGGTTGTTATTACAAATTTGCTTTCCTTCAACTGACAACAAACAAAAAATAATTATAACAAAAACTAAAGCCATCAATAAGGGTATTCATAAGTTATGACAAATATGTAGAAAAAATAGCCAAATTTGAATAAAGCCTGTTGATAATCATGTTACATATATGTAAAAAAAATTAAATTACATTAGTAACACTGACTCTTTATCCAACACAATTCTCTTTAAAAAGCTTGCTTTAATATTTAGTGACTGTATCCTTTATTTCAGGGAACCAAAGGCAATCCAATCCTGTGTCTCCATAAAAGCTTGCTGTATACCAAAATAATATAGTTAGAGAGAAAAACAGAATCCCTAAAGAAAGTCCAACACCAGGCCAATTTGAAAAAATGTTCAGGCTCGGTGAGAGCCTGTTATGGACGGTCTGGAAAGGGAAAGAAATTTTCCGTCCACGCCCCTACACCGGCTTAAGCCAGAAATTCAAAATTTTAACACGAAAATGGTGAAATTTAGAATTAAGACACATCCGCAGATGTGTTCATACGGCGGTTATCATGGAACCTTCAATGTGACACAGTAGTGCCATTCCATGGAAAGCGGCGTATGGTCTGATTTTGCCCTAAACGAGAAAACAATGAGCGAAACTAAATAAAATGTAATTTTGAAAAGGTGATCTGAGGTTATGAAGCCTGCATATCACAGATAAGACGTCAAAAGACAAATTTAAAAATCAGGCAACATATCCTAAGGGTGATTATACAGTATTCAAGTAGGAATACTGGAACCACCCAAGTTGAAAATGGCCAAATAGGAGAAACTAAAAGAAACCACAAAACATGTATACACAACACAAATGTCCTGCTGAACGATCTACAAGGATCGAAAATATAACATCATTGATTAAATGTAAAACCCAATTTTGAATACAATATCTCTTTTTAAGGGGAAAAAAATTGCTATAAAACCCTTGGGCAGTTATACATAGCCCCTGTCATTTTTAAAAAAAATTTTGAAATTTATTTACAAATTGTGATTTTTGACTCAATACATATTTTTAAAAAAACCTTAAAAATTATATAACAAAAAAAATTTTTCGAAAAAAAAAATTTAGAAAGGGGGCAGGGGACAGCAGCATTCTTGTTTTTGTCCAAAAAAAGTATGCATTATTATTATTTTTGGGGCCCAAATAAAAAAAAAAAAATTAAAAAGACATAATCAAAGTTTATGTTTTCGTTCAAAATATGTGTTTTTACATATATAAATTTAAAAATTTAAAAAGTTATAAAGTTGTTTTTTTCGCCAATAAAAAAAAAGGGAAACAAAAAGCAAATTTTTTGTTTTTAACAAAAAATCATCCAAAATGCTTGCTTGGAAAGGAATATGGTAGTATTTTGTCTTAAAGCAAATGGCGCATACAGTAAATCATAGTTATACGTTTAAAAGCCCTCCTTTAAAAGCAGCACAATATTTTTTTTTCCGGAACGTATTCTGTTTAGGTACAGTATTCATGTGTGTTAAATACCAGATGCATTTTATGTTAAAAACTAAGAATCTACCATAAGATAATGGAAACAATATAATTTTACCGATCATATTTTTTTTTAAATCATAAGATATACCTTTAAACAGTTTTAAGAAAACATATACATTAATTTTTATTTTAAAACAAATTATATAATCGTGTTACGAAAGAAAGGCCATATGAACATATCATAAGGCAACATTATTTACCTGTTTTAGTTTGTTGACAGCTTCCAGAGCTTCAGGTCTTCCTCTGAGTTCTTTTGGGTCTTCCAAAAATTTTTCAACGATTTTCATTTTAATTGGCATTCTCCCAAATTTTTCCCCTTTTCTTCATTTTTCCATGGTACCGGAAGGGAAAAATAATTTTGTTTCTTTTTCTCTTACCTGGGAAATTTTCTTTAAAGAGTCGTTATGTTTAATACCCGGGAAAATTTTTGATCCCTGGGAACATTTAGAACAGAAAAAATTAAACAAAAACTTGCAACTCATTTCCCTGAGCCTGTAAAATGAGGAATAATAAAAAAAGGGGCAAAAACCCCCACGCCCCCCTAGTACCCTATTCCCGGGCCCTTGTCCCGTACTAAATTTTTTAAAAAATATTTTAAAAATTTCACAACATTAAAATAGAACAAAAATTTAGAAATCTAATTATTTTTTTTTTTATTCAATTATATTACATGTATTTGTTAGTAAAATTTTAAGGCAAATTTTACAAACAGACAGTTTTTCTCTTTCGTGATATTTTTTTACTTACGATTACTTACTACCTTGATAAAAATATTTTGTCCAGCCATGGAGCATGCTAAATGAGAATGAAGACTGGTGTTATTAATGAAGACATGGAGTAATCCAGATATGTCTATATCAGCTGCCCTTTTCTTGTCTGAATATCCAGGAGCATTGATGAAACATTTGGCGACCTCCCATGGCTTCTGTACACCATTCTGTATATCTGTATTTGCCCAGTTTGGTGTTGGCGGGTGGATCCATGGCTTTTTAATATTTCTTCCATAATGAAATCACATACTTTAAGACGACATTTTTTCTTCTTCTTTGAGTGCAAAACAATTACACTTACGCTGACCCCAATAAGCATTCATATTACCTGCAGAATTTGTTATGCATGCATGAATTGGTCGCAACGCTCAATGATGCATTGATTACAGATGGTACCTGGTGTGAAATTAATAGAACTTAATATTCTGCTTTGTTCTTGTTTAACAACATCATCAGCAAAACCGTCTAGACCTTGTTTTAGGTATTTGTATGCAAGCCCACCTTTAACCCAGTTTCTGTACTTCTTCTTCTCTATCTCACTCTGGTGACTCATTGTTTGGTTATGGCACTTAATCAGTTTACGAGTATTTCCTGTTATCTAGCTTTTGTTTTCGATGTTCTCTACCAAAATATGCATAAAAATAACAGTTAATAAATCACTCAAGATATAATAACTTTTTAAGACAAAGAAGGAACATTTTACCAAGGTTAAATAATTTGTTGGACATTATATTTATACGAGACCCATACTTGTCACAAATAAGTGAAACAAGAGGATCATTACGACCCTTTATATCACTCATCTGATTATTAGGGGTCTAAATGACTAGTATAATGTAATATTATAAACAGACATAATATGTCTTAATCTGAAACTGATTATTACAAAGTCCATATCTGCATCTGAATTAGTGCATATGATAATGTTACTGGTTTCTTTTGCTGAGGAAAGTCAATAGTTACTATACAAAATCAATGGTTACTATGGAAGTCACTCATTGCTTTGAAAGCCAATGGTAGATTCAGTCCCTAATATAGAAAATCAAGGGTTGATATGGAAGTCACAGGTTACTTTGCAAAGTCAATGCGTGCTATGGAAGTCACTGGTTGTCATGTAAAGGCACAAGTTGCCATGAAAAAACAATGGTTATAATGGCACGCAGGTTTTGCTATTAAAATCAGTTCGATTGAAACAGAAATTTTGCTATGCATAGTAAATGGTATATTATGGAAACCACTGTTTGCTATGATAACTCAATGTTTGCTATGAATTTACTGGTTGTTAAGAAAAGTCAATAGTTGCTTTGGTAGTCACTGTTTGCTATGGAAACTCAGTGCGCGATTTGGGCGTCACTGATTAAAAAATCCACTCGTTGCTATGGAAACCACTGGTTGTTAAAGAAGGCCAATGCTCGTGAAAGTAATAGCTTGCTTTGTTAATTCAATGGCAGCTATTGAAGTCATTTGTTGCTAATTGAAGCAACGCATACTTTTTCTATCTAATTCCAATGATGGATTGCTATAAAATGTTATTAGTTGTTTGTACAGTTAATGGTTGTTTTTGAAAGTCAATGATTGCTATGGATATTGGGTATGAAAAATTAAAAGTTGTTATGAAAGTAACTGGCTGCTATCAAAGTCACTGGCTGCTTTGGAAGTAAATAGTTGCTATGGAAGTCACTCGTTTGTAAGAAAAGTCAACGTTTGCTATGGTAATCACTGATTGCTATTGTAGCACTGGTTGATGTGAAATTGCTTTGGTTGATTTGGAACATCAATTTGCTCTGTCAGTCATTGGTCGCTATGGAAAATGAATGTATGAATCGTAGTTACTTGTTGCTACGAAACGTTTATTAAAATTGAAGCAACAGGTTGCTATAGAAGTTAAAAGTTGCTATTGGTACCACCAGTTGCTATTATAATCACCGGATGTTGTTAAAGTAAATTGTCGCTACATTTATAAGTCATGCGTAATCAAGGACAAGTCAATGGTTGATAAAAATTCCATAGTTGCAATGGAAAGTTTATTATTGTTATGTATATTGGCCGGTAGCGTCCATTTTGAAGTCGCGAGAAATTTTACCAGTTATGTTCAACTTTTAAATCCACGATATTTTATGTTGGAATTATATCAAATTTCGCGGCTGGTAGAAATTTTTGAGTTTTTCAGTCACACTTCTGTCGTAAAAAGTTAAATAGTTAAATAAAGGTTATAGGTTATGGTCATATTAGACTGATTTGATATCCGGATTTTGTCATACGTATTTCCTGATTCCAAATATAGATCAAATCTGTAAATAAAATTATGAAAGGAAATTTATACAAATATATAAATAATTTTGTTTTGACGATCACTGTCAATTAAGGCCAACGTTTTATTGAATGATTTAATATCTGGATTTTGTCATATAAGGGTTATTTTGTCCAAGCATAAATTAATCTAAACTAACTTCTATAACTTGACCTTGACTATCAAGGTCATTTAAATGGTCTAGGTCAAATTTATTACTCAACATCTCATTGTTAAGTGTTCGTTTGCCTAGTATAGCTCAAATTCATTAACAAATACATCTATAGCCAAACTTTATCTTTAGCGCAAAGGTAAAATAAAAGTAAAGTTCAATTAAATCTTCTTTATTGTTTTATCCAAAGTTTTGTTGTTCCACTTCATGCATTACTTACAAAGTTACAGCCATTTATAGCAAAATTGGGAAATAACAATAATTGAACTTCAAGTTAAGTTATAGGTGAAGTCAAAATAAGCTTCATCTCCTTAAAAACATTTTCCTAAATGCAGCTGTGTTTAAATAATGAGAAAATTCATTCATAAAAAAAACACAAAAAAATGTTATAGTCAATTATAGAAAAAATATATCACAGTTCTATATTTTTATCTTTAATGTCATTGTGAAGGTCATAGTCATACAATTTACTTGAAGGTCGACAAGACAAAAAGTGTTTAACTGTGAAAACAATTATTTCGTTAATAACAATAATAATATAATAATAATATCCAAATATAGAAAATATCATGTAAAATTCATACATTTGACTTTGTAGGTCAATTTCTTTTATGAGTCAAGGTCAAGTTGGTCTACATGCAGGTCTTGTTCAAAGGATTGTTGTGTCCAAGTAAGAAGACACCCCATTAAGAAATATAAAACAAATGACCATTGTAAATGTTTATGGGACGTGAATGGGAACGGGATGTAGAAATAGCCAAACAATAAAAAGCCATTAAATAAAGTATGTTTGTGTAAAAATAACTCTGTAACTAGTGAAATTGACTCTAGATAAGCATAACTTCGTCCAATGTAAAAACCCAACAGTCATATATGGAAGACATCATTAATTAAAGGATGTAAGAACAAAAATTTCAGGTGAAAATAACAGGTAGCACATCTATTATCAGTTACAGAACCAACGTTGGTATCTATCTACCAAATATGAAAGACGTGAATAGAAAAGGAAGTTGCAAGGAGAAACTTAGAAAGGTGCGACTAACTACAGAGGTACAGAACTAATGATGAACTCTAAAAATAAAAAATAGCAACTATAATGTCTTTAAACCAATTAAAACTTGTATAAAACGAGCCCGACAACCCGGAATCTATTAACATTTTTTGTGTTCCAAGAGGAGTTAGTTAATTGTTTGTTTGGTTGGGTTGTTTCGTTTGACATCGCATCAACACAGTAAATGTCATATGACGACGTTTCAGTTTAACTAGTGGAGGTAGACTTCAGGTGCCCCTCCCTGCGTTATTGTAGGCACGAATGGGTAGAACCACCGACGTTCAGTAATCAAGCCAGAGAGCGTCCACGCTTGAAATACTCCAAAATCCCTTGCGGGATTCGAATCCACAGCAATGAGGGTCAAGTGGTTTAAGATCAACGACCTTAGCCATTCAGCAGCTGATTCCCATTAAGTAATTATACTAGATAACTGTAATTTCTAAAGGACCTCCGAAATCGAAAATGTATCAAAATTTTTGAATTGATTATGTGATTTTCGGTCCGAACTCGTGAAATTATGACTCTTCGTTGAGACTACCGGCTTTTATATTTTTGGTCACTTTGCCAACTGTAATAATATCTGTTCACAACAAAGATAAGAAGAACACAAAATTGTAGGTTATAAGCTAAGTTCCGATTAGATTTATTGATTGAGATCCATTATACTATTTTGTGATTATTTGCAAATATAAAGTTAATTTTGTAAACCATTACTCATTGACTGTATCGAACATAAAAATGAAACATTTATAATTATTGTATATAAAATAAGTTCATATACCTCTCCATGTTAATGTTCCGCACAGACACCAAATATTGACATGCGCACTTCGATTTTCATATACATAAATCGTCATGTTACAGGTAATTCATTTTGGCCATTTGTAGTTTTAAAGGTACTTCATCTTATCTTGACAATGTCATACACATTCATTTAACTATTTAACAATGGTTAGGAGTTCTGATGCGTTGGACTGGACCTCTGGGGACGTAGGCCAGAGTGGATAATTTGTAGT